GAGAGAGAGAGAAGACACGGCAAAGAGACACACTGGCGGTAGGGCGGTGCTGCGTTAGTGCAGACGTGGGGTTATGGGCCAGCAGTTGCGGTGGGCCAGCGCGGACGCGGGGGGGGGGGGGGGGGGGTGCACCTCGGGCGGGGGAGCAAGGGCCGGCAAATTAAGAGCCCATGTGGATGAAGGAGCGGTTGACATTAATGCGGGACTGAGCGCGGTTGATGCCGAAGACCATGTCAGGGCAGATCTCCCCGTCGGCGATCTTCTTCATCACGGCATAAATCAGCCGGCTGACGGGCTCGGTGCCGATGGGCGACAGCTGGCTCGGCAGGTGGAACTGCGCATCCACCCAGCCAGGCCCGGGGGAGGGGGGGGGGACAGGAGGAAGGGGGGGAGAGGGAAAGAAGGGAGAGTCAGGGCAAGGGAAAAAAACAAAGAAGAAAGGGGGGAGACGCGCGTAGCGGGGGAGGGCCCGGGGCGGGGGGGGGGGGGGGGGAGAAACAGAAAAGCACACGACGCACGGTCTGCAGCCAGTGCGCATGGTACGTGTCGATGACGAGGTCCACGGCCATAGGCTCCGAGGCGGAGTTGAGCTCGGCAATCTCCTCCGAGTCGGCGAAGAGCGTCAGCTTGGGCAGGTCGCCGCCGAAGATGGCGAAGTCCAGCAGAGCCTGCAGGGCGGCCGACATGCGCGCATAGCACAGGCGCTTGTCGGTGCAGCTGTCGGTGCGCGGGTGGAAGGACGAGTCGACATCGATGAACGAGAAGTATGTGGCGCTGACGACATTCAGGAAGGCGACCACCGGCTCCGGCAGGAGGAAGGGCGTGACCACGCGCCGGCTCAGGGGGTTGGCCATCTGCTGTGGCAGGAGTCAGTATGGTAGATAGCGCCATCCTGGAGGGGGGGTGGAGGGAGAGGGGGAGAGGGGGGGAGAGAGACAGGGAGAGAGACAGGGAGAGAGGGGGAGAGAGGGGGAGAGAGGGGGAGAGAGACAGGGAGAGAGACAGGGAGAGACAAAGAGAGAGACAGGGAGAGACAAAGAGAGAGA